GGGCGGTTGTCTCGGCCGATCTGCGCGGCATCTCGCGGGGGGCCTGCTTTGGGCCCCTCCCCGCAGCCCTGCAGGATATTGGCCTCGCTGAGCTGTGGTCCTTCTTTCAGTGCCTGTCTCTCGCGGCTGCGCCGATCGCGATCGCCGTCGACTGCCGTGCGATCGTCGACGGGGTTGCGGCTGGAAAGGCTCGATGTTTGCGCCCGAATCGGCTCTATTCTGAAGTCTGGGCTCGGATTTGGTTTGGGTTGGAGGGCCCGGAGGCCGACGGTGTTTCGGTTCGCTGGGTTCGGTCTCGCAAAAGCTGGCCACGCGCCCAGAGACGGGGCGTGCCCATTTTTTTTTTTTTTTTTTTTTTTTTTTTTTTTTTTTTTTTTGTGTTCGAGGCAATGTTCTGGCGAATGAGTTCGCTAAGCGAGGGGCCGAGGCGCATCCCAGGGGCGAAGACTGGGCCCGCGGGCGCGCCTTGGCCTGGTGGGCGTTAGCTGTCACGCTGCGTACTGAACTGTCGGATCCTGCACCACTTGGCGCTCCCGGATTTTCCGGATGTGTCGAGCGAAGAGAACTATGCACATGCACCGATCCTGGCAAGGCCCATCTTTGACCCAGGATCGGTGCATATGCCTTCCTGGCCAAGGTAGGAGGGCGTATGCACCGATCCTGGGCTCAGGATGGGCCTGGCCAGAATCGGTGCATGTGCATAGTTCTTTTTCCTCTAATGTGGTCCGTCCTCAGGTGGTCAGGGTCCGTTTGGGCCCTCTCGACCTGGTTTCGGACCCTCGGGGCCACCAGGTCAAGCTCGTTCGTGGTCGCCGGGGGTGCGTGTCCCGAGGCCGATCGGCGTCGTATCGCTGCAGAGTTGTTTCTCGGCCTTGCCCAGGGGTCCCAGAGTTTGTGTCTCGTGCCCACCCGTCCCATCGGTTGTGGTGGGCGAGGGGGCCCACAGAAGGAGTTGTTTGGTGCTCGCGCTGCGGTGCGCATGGAGCCCAGCAGGTGCTCAAGATCGGCAGGCCCTGTGTCCATCCCGCGGACGGGCCGCCGCTCATTGAAAGCGTTGCGAAAGGGCAAAGACCCTTCCTCGGGATCCCTCCTCCCTCGTCCCTTTCCTGTCTCCCCTCCGCGGGAATCTCGGGAGTTGGGTTGGGTGGAGGGCCTCCGCTCGGTCCTCTCTGAGGTCGAGGATCCCGATTTTTTTTTTTTTTTTTTTTTTTTTTTTTTTTTTTTTTTTTTTTTTTTTTTTTTTTTTTTTTTTATATATATATTATTATTATTATTATTATTATTTTTTTTTGTTTTTTATTATTATTTATATATATATATATATGTATATAATATTACATATACGCCATATTATATATATCGTGTGCTAGGGGTGGGCGCTCCTCCTGCGCCCCCTCGTTCTCTCGGGCCTGCCCCGCCTGATGCGGGCGGGACCGCCGTGGAGCCCAGCGCGGTGGCGGAAGTGGCAGTAGCGCCGCCCGCTGCGGGCTCCCATCGTTGCGGAACTCGTGGGACTTTGCGGGGGCGGTTCTTTCTGGGACCGCCCCCGAAGGAAGGGAAAGGGACAGGGAAAGAGGAGGAGGAACAGGTGGAGGAGGAGGAGGAGGAGGAGGAGGAGGAAGATGACGGTGAGGGCGGGGAGGAAGAGGAGGAGGAGGAGAGCAGAAGGGGAGGAGAAAGCAGAGGAGGAGGATGAGGAGGAGAGGAATGAGGAGAGGAGGACAAGGAGAGGAGGAGCAGCAGGAGGAGGAGAGAGCAGGAAGGAGAGGTGACAAGCGGGAGGAGGAGGAGTAAGGAGGAGGAGGAAGAGGAGGAAAGAGGAGGAGAGGAGAGGAGCGGAGAGAGGAGGAGGAAGGAGAGGAGGAGGAGGAGGAGGAGGAGGAGGATGAAGAGGAGGCGCATGAGGAGCAGGAATTGGAGCAGGAGCAGGAGCAGGAGGAGGAAAAAGAGCAGGATCATGAGCAGGAACAGGAGCAGGAACAGGAACCGGAGGAGGAGGAGGAGGAGGAGGAGGAGGAGGAGGAGGAGCAGGAGGAGGAGGAGGAGGAAACAGGCGGCGGCGGCGGTGCTCGGCTGATCCACGTGTCCGCTCGCGTGAAAGTCGTGAGAGAAGCAAGGCAGCACACGGAACACGAGTGCGCTACAGATACCGGTGCAATCGCACGTGGGGGGGCTCAGGGGAGCGTCTCGCGAGCCCAGCACGGAGATATCCATGGGGCGAGACCACTCCCTCGAGGCTCAGTAAAAAATTACGGCGGCCTCGAAACTGGACAGCGGGCGAGCCGTCAACAACATAAAGAGGTTTTAAAGGGCAGCGAGTTCAACCTGAAAAAGGAACACTAAAATTACAGGGTCCCAGGGCGTCGATCCGCGGAACAGTTATTGTCGGCACTCGGGGTCCCTCTGATCAGTCGGTAGATCGCTGCATCTAAAGCCGAGGAGGAGGTCAGGCGGGGACGACGAGACGAGGACTCAGGCGACGGAGGCAATCGAGGACAAGGAGGGGGGGGAGCTGGCCTGACCAGTACTGTGCTGGCGGGCCTTCTTCTCTGTAATGACGCTTCTTGCCCTGGACTCAGGCTCTGGCCTCTCAACCGATGTCGCCGCAGCTGAGTGCCCTCGTGCCATTGTCGGAGCAGCTGTCGACTCTGCTGATGTGGTGACTCTCGCGTCTAGCTGTCCAGTCCGTCCAAGGCCAACTGCAGCAATCTCTCCTGGTGGGACTTCGGCGGTGTGCCTCTCATGATCTTCGCCCCCAGCTGTACCAGCGCCGCCAGGACTTCTGACTGGGCCCGTGTCTCGGGCTTCTATTAGACTTTTCATGGCACTCTTGTCGTGCGTGTAGGACACGCGACAGTACTTCACCTGCTGGGCCCGCGACGCGTTCGTGAGCAACGGATCCGCCTGCACTCGGTCGAGGTAGGTCTTGATGGCCGTGGAGTTCTGTGCGCCGACTCGATCTCCTCGTTGCTGGAGGGCGCCCACGGGCGCGAGCCACAGGTGGGGGTGCGGAACCCCGCTTGAAGATCCTGAAGCATGCCAAAACATTGTTCTCGGGATTTCAACGCCACGTATCAACGTGAGTGCTGCGTCTTGTCGATCCGGAATCGCGCCAGAGCGCCATGTTTGGGACTTCGACACCGCGAACCAACACAACTGTAGCACCCGCATAATCCTGAATCTTTGTAAGACACAATGTTTTGATACGTTGGTCATGGGAACCCGTGAAACTGTTGCAACTTTCGAAGAATAATGTACGCGGCGCTAAGGCGAGAGCCACATTTAAAAAAGGAGCCGCCCTCACTTCGTGAAACTCTTGCGTGTTTTTTAAATGAATGTGCGCGGTGCTAAGGCGAGAACCACATTTTGAAAACCACCCGCCCTCAATTCGTGAAACTCTTGAATTTTTGAGAAGCGAATGTGCGCGGCGCTAAGGCGAGTGCCACATTTAAAAAACCACCCGCCCTCACTCCGTGAACTCTTAGCAAATTCTTAAACCGAGTGTGCGCGGCGCTAAGGCGAGAGCCACATTTTGAAAACGACCCGCCTTCAATCTTCAATCCGTGAAGCTCATGCAAATTCTTAAAGCGAGTGTGCGCGGCGCTAAGGCGAGAGCCACATTTTGAAAACCACCCGCCCTCAATCCGTGAAGCTCTTGCAAATTTTGCATGTGCGCGGCGCTCAGGCGAGAGCCACATTTTGAAAACCACCCGCCCCCTATCTATGAAACTCTTGCAAATTTTGAGAAGCGAGTGCGCGCGTCGCCAAGTCGAGAGCCACATTTTGAACACCACCCGTCCTCTATCTGTGAAGCTATTGCCACTTTTGAAGCTTCAGAGTCATAAATGGTGAGGAAGTCTCAAGCGAAACGCCCGTCCCGCCCTAAAAACTGGCCTCAGGGTGCGATAGGGAGAAGTTATTGAATCGCTTCGCTCATTCCGCCGGCCCATAGTGTAGCGTCGCTGGCACTTGCTTGCGTGCTTGGGGGGGCATTTGGGTGGCCTCCTGGGGCCGCTTGGGGGCCTCTTGGGGGCCTCCTGAGGGCCTGTTGGGGGCCTCTTGGGGCCTCTTAGGGGCCTCTTGGGGCCTCCTGGGGACTTCTGAGGGCCGAGGGCTCGAAATATTGTTTCGTGTTCCCCCCCTGGGGTCCCTCTTGGGGCGTTCTTGGGGCCCTCTTGGGCCGTCTTGGAGGCCTCTTGGGCCGTCTTGGAGCCCTCTTGGGCCGTCTTGGGGCCCTCTTGGGGGCCTCTTGGGCCCTCTTGGGGCGGTCTTGGGGGCCTCTTGGGCCGTCTTGGGGTGTCGTGAAGCCGAAAAGGTGGAAACGCCAAAATCTCTCCAAAACCTAAGGAAAAGCAGTGAATTTTGCCTCTTGGGGCCCTCTCGGGAGTGCTCTTGGAGGCCTCTTGGGGCGTCTGGGGGCCATCGTGGGCGTCTTGGAGCGATCTTGTGGCATCTCGGACCCCTCATGTAGCATCTTGGGGGCCTCTTGGAAGCCTCTTGGCCCTTCTTGGGGCTCTCGGGGACGTCTCGGAGCCGCGTTGGTGCGCTGGTGGAGCGCCCTGGTGACTCCTCCCGGGACTCTCTCGGGACCTTGCCGGGGTACTTTCCGCCCGGGGGCCCCCAGGGGCCGCCCCGCGCGCGCGAAGTAACAGATTGTAAAGCAGTCACCGGAGATTTTAGCACGCCTCTGGCCCGTTGGGCCGGCGAATTTATAAGGAGAAGGGAAGGAGGAGGAGGAGGAGGAGGAGGAGGAGGAGGAGGAGGAGGAGGAGGAGGAGGAGGAGGAGGAGGAGGAGGAGGAGGAGGAGGAGGAGGATGAGGAGGAGGAGGAGGAGGAGGAGGCAGGATGAGGAGGAGGAGGAGGAGGAGGACGAGGTGGGAAACGAACCTGCAGGCGGGAGGCGGGGGAAGTAGAAAGAGGGAGAGGGGAGGGAGGGAAGATGCCCCAGGCGTTACGACCCATCGATGCTTTCCGCCGATTCCTTGCGGCGTTCGCCGAGGTACTGGGACTCGAGCAACAAGCACGTGAAGCAGAGGTCGAAGCTGAGGCTCTGCTGCTGCTGCTGCTGCCGCTGCTGCTGCCGATGCCACTGCCGCCGCAGCCACTGCCGGCACCGTGCTGCAACTGCCAGTGCAGCTGCCATCGCAGTCGAAACCCTGTGCTGCGCCCGCGAGTCCAGTCGTGCCCGTCCTCCCCCCCTCTGCGGGAAGAGGAGGGTGAAGGGAACGACCGACGGACAGATGGAGGGATGACATGCTGGAGGGATGGAGTGCTGAAGCGGGATGGAGGTAGCGATGAAATGTAGCGGCACCGCTCTTCGCTTCCCGCGTCCTCTCCCCCCTCCCGCCCCGTTTGCTTCGCTCGGCCTCACCCGCGTCGCCTTCCTTTCCCCCTGGTCTTCCTCCCCACTCCTCTCTCCTCCTTCCTGCTCCCCCCCAACCGCAATTTGCTCAAAACTCTTTCCCGGAACTCTTCGTGGGCACGATCCTGATCTGTTTCCCAAACCGCGTCCAGCCGTGGCGTCGAGTGAGACTTCGGAAGGTCTGCCGGCGGAGGAAGAGGAGGAGGAGGAGGTCAGGTCAGGGCAGGTCAGGTCAGGTCAGGCAGTCCTCGAAAGTTTCTCAGTGAGAAGATAATTGCCAGGGTGAAGCAGACCAATCTTCAGCCCAGTTCCCCCCGACTGGGGAAGAACGGTTAGCCAGCGTGGGCTCTAGCATATCATGTGGTGCAATAGATTTGGTGCGATCCACCTTACAGAATTTGAAATTGGCAACTCCACTGCTCGCGTAATCTTCCCACCTCTGACCCGCAGATTGGTTTGCAAAGCCCATGCGGCGGCGATTTCGATGACTGCTTGGCACTTGCTGGCGCACCTCCGCGGCCGCACTAGCGAGCGCAAGCTCGCGCACAGAGCGGCCAGCTAGTTTGGTACAACCGACCCGGCCGCGGTGGCGCTGACCGATGGGGACTTCCCAGCGCGTCTCACAGGCCGCGCTGGCGCTTCCGTTCGTGTCGGTGATTCGGGCGGGCTCGGCATCATGGTGACGTCGGCAGCGGCGGAATGATGATGACGATAGTAGCGATCGTGACGATTACGACGGCGAAGCCAACGACGGCGCCGATGCTGGTCACGCCGATGGCGATGATGATGTCCATGTGTCGCCGATGGAGATTGTAGTGGCCTTCGGCCAGTGCCGCCGATCCGGGGCACTCCGACTGATGTGATCCTTCTTCGCCCTCGTCCCTCATCTCTTTTTCCCTCCCCTCCTCTCACTCAGCATTTATCGAAGACGCCTACGGCGAATCACCGCCGCCCCCTGCCTTTTTGGAAGCGCCTATGTGGCCGAACGTTGAGGCCAGACCTGCCAAGCTATCGGACCACGTGTTCCCCGAATCGGTTTGGAAAGCCTTCGGGGAACACGTGGGCATCTTGAAGGTCATCTTGGCCGTCTTGGAGGCCTCTTGGGCAAGCTTTGGGCGATCTTTGGGGCTTTTTGGGCCGTCTCGGGCCAGCTTCGAGCCAACTTCGGCCATCTTGGTGGGTTCCTGGCACGTCTGAAGCCGTCGGAAGCCGTTTGGGGGGCCTCTATGGGCCGACTTGGGGCCCGCTTGGAATGCTCCAGGGCCGTCTTGGAGGCCATCTTGGGCGTCTGGGAGGCCATCTTGGGCGTGTTGGAGGCCTCTTGGGCCCTCTTGGGGCCCTCTAGGGGCCATCTTGGAGGCCACTTGGGCCATCATGGGGCTCTCTTGGGGGCCTCTTGGGCGATCTTGGGGGCTTCTTGGGCCGTCTTGAGCCGTCGGAGAGCCGAAAAGGCGCAAATGCCAAAATCCTTCAAAAACCAAGGGAAAATCAATGATTTTGGCCTCTTCGGACTCTCCTGGAGGACCTCTTGGAGGCCTCTTGGGCCGTCTGGGAGGCCTCTGGGGGGCCTCTTGGGCCGTCTTGGGCCGTCTTGGACTCTCTTGGGCCGTTTTGGAGGCCGTCTTGGACCATCTCGGGCGGACTTGGAGGCCATCTTGGGCCATCTTCGCGATTTTTTGAGGATGTCCCGAGCGAAACGGCCGTTTTTGGGCATTGACAGACGGATTTTCGGAAACTTGCGGGTGGCCGGCGGGACGGGCCGAAGCCCACTGGGGAGTTCTTTTAGAAAAAGAACCAAAACCAAAACCTGACTCGTCCGGCACGCCGTGCACCCCTGCAAGCAGGGGGCGGCGGATCCAGTGGCCGTCGGCCTATCCCGCCACCGTGCGTGGGTGGTGGGTCAGAGGCCTCATGGATGCTGGTTGGGATCTCGTGGTTGGCTGGGACTTCTGGGGGCCTCTTGGGCGCCTCTTGGGGCTTCTTGGGGGCCTCTTGGGCCTCTTGGGGCCACTAGAGGGCCTCTTGGGGGTCTCTTGGGAGCCTCTTGGGGCTTCTTGGGGGCCTCTTCTGCGCCCCTTGGGGCCTCTTGGAGGCCTCCTCGGAGCCTCTTGGTGCGGGAGGGGTGGTACTCGAGTTC